GGGTCAGTGTAATACGTGCTGCTACCGGACCCGCTAAACACCCGACTGTGATTGACAGGAAAGTGAAATCTCAGTTAATATTAACGAGTGAAGTGCCGCTTGATATTGACATCGGTAATCATACACCTCTTGTGGAAATTGAAGACCCGGATAAAACGGTCACCGTCCCAAATAGTTCCGGTGTGGCTGTCCTGAGTGGTGATAAATGGACTTCAGTATGGAGAAAAATGAGTATTAGATAATAAAATTCAGTTGACTGGTTTTTTAACCAGTAGGGCTGATAGATTAAACCGTAGGGGAGGCGGGGTTATTCTGTACACGAAAAGTGCCCTAACTATAGGAGTAGCTGAGACAGTGGCACATGTTTCAGGGATATGTGAACTGGTGTGATGTAAGCTGAAATGTAGACGGCAAGATATTGAATTAGTTGTAGTATATCGCAGTACAGAATGTGTAGCAGATGATTTTCTCCTAAGTAAACTTAAGTCCTGGTGTAACACGGGTAAAAGCCTTGTAGTAGGCGACTTTAATGTACCGTATATAAACTGGGTTAACTTAGAAGTAGGGTCATCGATAACGTCGTTCGATTGCAAACTGTTAGAAGCCTCGATTGGATTAGATTTATTCCAACACATTAGAAACCCCACAAGATATGACTTAAGAAACTCTTCTCTTTTAGATTTAGTCTTCACACACGGTGATGACGTTGGTCAAATGACTTTTCTCCCACCAATCCCAAGTGCCCCATCTGGAGACCAGTACTTAGTGGGGTACCTCAAGGTTCTGTCCTAGGTCCTTTACTTTTTATAATGTATGTTAATGATCTTCCAAGTATAGTACAATCTCCAATGTTATTATACACTGACGATGTAAAGATCTGGCGAGTAATAACTGGAGACCCAGACGCATGTGCTCTTCAGGCAGACTTAAATAATATTATTAACTGGTCTAAAGAGTGGCTGATGCCTATCAAGGCGGCAAAGTGTGTCTATATGCACTTTGAGAATTCAATGGTTTATAGGTACAACATAGGGGAAGTGCCATTACCCGTGGTCCGGTCTCATAAGGATCTAGGGGTGACAGTGAGTCATGATCTTAAGACGACGGCCCACTGCCGAAAGGTCGCAGCTAGTAGGTTTCGAACCCTCTGGGATTTAAAACGGACATCCACTAAGTTAGATACTACCATGATCACCACAATATACGCATCTTTAGTGAGAACTAAGCTTGAGAAGTGCGTTTAAGCTGTAAGCCCCTGTTTAAAAGATGACTCGGATATCCTAGAAAAAGTACAGAGGGTAGCTACCCGTGCAATTCCAGAACTCCTAGATTTACCATACAAAGAGAGGCTTGAAAAGCTGGACCTTTTTACTCTGTCCTCTCGCAGATTAAGGGGAGATCTAATTTTGATTTGCAGGATACTGAGAAATGATTTTGGACCTTATTCTCTCTTTTTTCCCACAAGATCGGGACATCTCAGAGGACATAGCAGGCGAGTAGAAAAGCCAAGAACGAACAAAATACTCGTGGTATACAGGCTTTCACATCGAGTCATCAATATTTGGAACCTGTTTCCTGAAGCAGTGGTGTCCGCACCTTCAATTGACTCTTTCAAGAGAAGACTGGATACTCACAGAAGCATACTAGAAAAGGAATAACATAGGTTGTAGGCCTTCTGTCCTTACTACACAAATCTGATCTGAATCTGGAATATTGAATCATTTCCTAGATTTTCTGTTATGGTAACTAGATGAAAATTTCGAAGGGTCATCGGGGAGGATGCAAAGCCAGCAGAAATACTGTGAATCCGAAATCGTAAACAAAGAGCAGGCACGAATCGTACGAGGCCCATTTAAAAGTCGGGTTTCTAAGACACGGGCGGATTTCTATGATGTGAGGGGTAATGCATGGCTAAACTAACAGCATAGAATAACTAAAACAAGAAGCCGAACTGGTGAGACTAGTTTATGGACAACCTTTGAGCGACGCTAAAATGACATTGAGTCTCCACTTAATAACTAAGACTAAATGAGGGTTATACATCAGTGTGAGGAATTAGAATTATGATTTACAGTTGGTGGTTAGGGTTAGGAATTTGATTTATTGTTTTCATCACGAACTGAAATCAGCTATAACGCCGAAAGTCTATTTAGCCAAATGAATGGGTTTCGCGCTAGAACTCGAGACCTGATATACTTGATTAGTCTCGCCACCAAACTAACGATGGCCCTATTTTTCACAATATTTTGTCAAAAAAGTTGACAAGGATATTGATAAACAGTGAAGGATTTACTGAGCATACACAGATAGAATGAGGAATAAGGACCATCAAAACAAAAATATTAAATGCCAAAATCGAAACGTTTAAGGTTACCTTGGAAATTGTTCCTTTCCTAAACAAGCTTGCCATGATGACTACAAGCTACCGGTCGAATGACCGCTAATCATGACCTTCAAACTAGAAAATTCCGATTGGCCGAATACCTAGACGGATCGATAACTAAATAGACAGATTCCATTGGCCAAAATAAGTATTTCAGATTTGGTTTAAGCAATCAGAACAATATTGTACTTCACCCAATTGCTGTACTTAGTCTTAACATGATGTGACATGCTTGTAGTTTTGACTAAGGTATTAATTATCTTGAAAGCGAAGCTAATTGTTTTGCTGATTTAGTGGGTTTTTCAATTTTTTTAGTTGTTTGTTTGATCACGGTTATAAAAATCCAAGTTTGAAAAGTGGAATTTCATCACGCCGATTCGCGTGATTTTGTATCTAATAACGGTAAATAAAAAATATGCTCAGGAAAATGTGATATTCATAAATTAGAGGGAATTATCTTCAATAAATGCATATTTGACAACAATAGTGTACTGAAAATTACTGCGACAAACTCTTTACATTTACATTTAGTGTTGATGTTTTAGCGTATCAGGCTGTTTCCCACCCATGAATCTTTGAACTTATTTAGTTTTCATAGTTATTTGTCGAATCAGTTTGTAGATTTATGCATCCTGAAGTGTGTTTGATGTTTACGCCTTAATCAATATTTACCTCCTAACCAAATGGTTAGTGCAAATAGCAGTCACGGTAACCATAACCGTCTTTGAGTTTAATTACCACGTGATTAAATAAAAACCCGATAAGTGATGGTATTTTAGGATTTTAGTCGGCTTACGGGTGGGTTGGAATGTCGTTATTCCTGGAAAATCGACTAGACTATCAACATATGAATGTTTTTAACATAGTCGGACAGTGAATGCTTCGAACACATACAACAATACTGAAAACAAGATAGCGCGAAATTGTAAGTGTTGCTTGTAATCAAACACAAAATAAACTACAGTAGCTTTGGCAACTATGTAGCATTGACACATAATAAACTAACCTAAAGGTTATTGTACAATTATTCGGAGCCTGATATAGTGGCCAACCATTTTCGTGGGTATCTTTTTTTGACGTCCGAATGAAATGAATCATAGAGTAGTTGATTGGCAATACCACATTCCCCCTCAGCAAACCTATATTGACTAGGAGAGCACTAGTGTCAATCATCACACTTGAATATATTTAGATCTCAGGGTTATGATATGGTATAAATCTGAAATAAGGTAGTCTACAAAAGTGAAAATAATACAATTTGGATTTTGTCTGTTATTGTTGGAAGTCAAACTATCATGGAAAGTAAGAATCACACATAACTGTTTATTTTACCAAAAAATGCCATGTATGTATCCTATTGAGAACCAACGCAGGGATCCAAAGAACTTGTAACATCTTACGGAAATCTTTACATAAAAAAATAATTTATTTCTACTAATAGCCCTTGAAGATGTTATTCAGTAAAAGTGACGCCATATCATTTTATTTGCTATCTCTGTTGACGAATTACTAGAACAAGTGGATATACATTAAATCCTACGATTTCTAAATAAAAGGCATTTAATTCTTACTGCATAACTTCGAGAAATTAGAAAAATCTGGGAGTAATCTTTTAGCCGAAATACTTAACAAGTGAAGTTGAGATATGGATTATCATTTGATCTCTAACTCTGTTGGTAGAAAGCTAAGCTGATGATCTATAGGCTATTTTGAGTATCAGGACAACCAAGCACTTGAAAATAAAATGAGTGTTGAAGAATTTCTCTAATTATATTAACATTCTAAAAGATCTTCTACCTACTATTAATAAATTACTTTCTAAGAAATGTCCAAAGCCATTAACTCTCATTGACATAAAATATTATATTTCTTCTCATACAACCACTTGAGGCCACCTCGAAACCATACAGCTTCACTTTATTTAAACGTGGTTAATATATATGAATCAATACCTATTTTGATTTCTTGGCGATAAAAAGAAAACAAGACTTTCATCAATAGCTGTATTCCAAAGGAGGTATTTTGTGACATCAGCGAGTGGATAGCTAATGGAATTACCGCAAAGATTGCACTAGACAAACTTGTAAGACAACTAATTCGGTTTTTTCCCAGTAACTCACGTTCTAATACATCATAGGAATAACAAAAGAAAATATTTAATTTGTAACAACAAAATAGTATTGCTTAGAAGAGATACACATCTACATACACACTTTTCATCAAATCAAACTTCTAATTAAAAAAAATGATTGCATGATTCAGGCTCATGGGTTAAACCACATAGCAAACTATCAAATTTAATGATTCAAATCAAAATCTACCTTATTGGCTAACAGTTTACAATGCCGATATCCAGTTGAGTTACCTCTTTTTATTATTATTCATAACACAAAAGTCATAATATATTGTTGTCATAGATATTATAGAATTAGAGGACTATTTGTGTTGATTGGGGACAAACCAAGGCTAACTACCTATTGGACATTATCTATAAAAAAAGTTTCTGTGTGCTATATTCTGATCTTTATGTGTACGTTTGTAGATATTTGTACCATTGAAATAACCAATTATATTTACCTTTTCTAGAAATTCAGTGCATTCGTTGTCAATGGATTAAATTCGATTTAATCTATAAGCGTTTATATTCTGTGTCTTGCAATATGGTTAGTGACCTTAGATTTAGTGTGAAAAATGAATCTAAACAAAATTATACTTAATTTTCATTAGAATACTAAAACATGTATCATAAGAATAATCCATCATGTTTCTTTTTTGATCAAGTTAAACCAGTAAGGCAGGAAATTAAAGAATATAAAAAATCTTTGGTGTATAACATTAATACTATTCATTTACATTCAGAGAATGCGGAGTTAATTAATAATAATACAAATGACCAGTTGTCAAATGATACAAAGTATAATTGTAGTTCCACAAAGAATACTTGTCGTCCTATAACATTATCATCTACAGGAGAAAAAACTATAAATCCAAAAGAACAATTAATAAATAAAAAATCAATTTTAAAACAGTATGATTATTATTCGTGGGTTGAAATGAGTGAACAAATCATAAAAGATCTTTCAATTTTTTTACATCAAGAAAATGTCAAAGAAATAAAACATCCTAGAATATTAGATTATCGTTTGGATGAAACATGGGATGAATTAATTTCTATGGTGGATTCCAATTCAAGAGATTGGCAATTACCTGCAATAAAAAATGCATATAAGATATGGATTCAAGTAAGCAATACAATAACATAGTATAAACTTATGATATACGTCTAAGAAGTTTTGTTTCAATAAGTTATTTTTTATATTAGAACTCTAATAGTTTAAACTAAAGTATATGGAAAAGACTTTAACTAAATAACTAAGACGCATATGGTAAACAGGAATTTTTAATCAGAATATTGGTGATTATAAAATACTTGATAATATGGAATCCATGTCTGTGAATTCTTAGTAAATCCATTTATAAGTGTCTGATATATGTGAGGTGTCGAGCATTTCCAGGCATTTTTCTGTTTATTTAGTGGGTGGATGCTGTATGTAAGGACATAATATTCATTCAAAATTTTATTTTAAACTAACTTTTAGTTTGTTTACTTTTTAATTAGGTAAGTTGGTATGCGTTACAATGGTGATACATGTAGATAGATTTAGATGACTGAAATGAAACCATCAGTGAAAATCACGTTCTTATATGTCACATCTACCCACTGAATAATTAACTGACTATAATCTATAGATGGTACAAGATATATCAACATAGTTACTGTGTTAAATGCAAGCTGACAGATTTATGTAAAATATCCTAAATCAATTAGTTCTTATATTGATAAACACAACAGAAATATATGTAATGAATAGTTGGGGAAAATTTCTTAGTTTTTCTATTTTATCTTATCTACCCATTTCTAACAAAAACTTCGGCCTAAAGATCCTAGCAACACATGTGAATCATTTGAATTAAATAGCTATTTGAGCCTTCAGTTCCAACTGGTAAACGTTTCTGTTTGAATTCATATATCATTACTAGTGAACATCTAAGAAATAGTAAGAAGCCTGTCACGTTCTTGATCTGTCTACCCACTTTTAGTGCTGAGATAACTTGTCTAATCTAGATTAATACCTTGACGCGATAGGCTAACCGGCTTAACCTTGAGGCTAGTACGCGTGAGTTCGAAGTGGGGTAGAGAGAAGAAAACTAATCCACCACCTGATTGGCCGACAGGCACGCGAGTGAGAGAAGGCAAGTCGAGTGAATCACTACTCGATTTATTCTCAGTTCCTATCTGGTTCCCAATTTCAGATCAGTGTAAAAAGGTACATGAATAAATGACTAACCCGACCGCAACGTACAGTAATTAAAAAAATACGATGTCCAAAACTGGGGATTAGAGTAGAAAATAAAGTACAAAGTGATACGTTTCAATTACAATAGCTTTGGAACAAAAATGGCTATGGCAGTGAAACGAAAGCTTATGATCTGTAGAATAGACTGGGGACAAAGATAAATGTTAGTGTTTTACAAGCTTTGAATTAAATGAAATGACGTCCCTAAAATAGCTTCCGCAGTTTGTCAAGGCTTCTTGTTTCTCTGTTCACATCAAAGCCTATCAGGTTTTGTAGTCACAAGATAATTTCAAAGAAGTTCTTCTAGTTTCTATAGAACGTTTCATTCTTCTTGTAGTGGTACAACCTTAAAATCTAGGATTACTGTCATCATCATTCGTCGTTGACTGAGTGGAAACATTGCATTTTTTTGCAAACGGTCTTATGTAAGCTGTATGTAAGTTAAAAATGAATAACCGGATATAACTACAAACAAAAACCAATATCCCTGAAATAACAAAAATAAGGTGTTCAGATAAGTATTACGATAGAATCATCTGAAAAAAACAGCCATATAAATCATATGAGATGCGTTCACTATGCTAGTTAATGTGTATGTAGCGAGTAATGCAAGTTTTCATGATTAATTGTCGAATAGTCAAGGTGCATGAGCAAGAATGTGTGTAAATAAGAGAGCTATTTTAAACTAACTCTACCTGTGAGGTTTGAGAATCTATGTGTAACTATAACGCTCGTCAATATTACTGTGCCGCCATTCACATATATGTAGTGTTGTTACCCGAAATTCAAAACGATTAAGATATTTTACTGAAACAAGATGTATGATACACTTTAATTATTTGAAGATGATGGGGAGGGAGAATAATCTAAGATTGAGTTCCACCTTTGTCATTATTGAAAACTTCTGGCTAATTCTGACACTATTCACCAAGCTTCGACGTCAGGATTCAATGACGTATTTAGAAACTAATTACAGTAATCAGTTTTTTTTACTATAAGCTAGTGGATTATTATAATCTTATAGAAATGAATTTCATGTTGCATGTTTGTTGTTAACTGGAGTGAAAACGCTACTTGGCAGGAAAAAAAGTTTTTTTCTGTCTTGGCTACCTAGAATGATATGGCATTTTAATCCAACACTTGTATTCAGGATATATTTCGGTTGTGATCGATGCTGATGATTTGTTCAAGTTGTGGCATAATGGTCCATAACAGTTTTCGATGGCTGGTTGTTGACAGTTAATTTAGCCATGTAATTGCATTACTGAGGCCTTGACCATACTATTAGATTACACATGTACATGAAACATACAAAGTGACTTACCTTATATTGATTGTATTCTTGTTGTCTACCCGCTGAACCAGAAGCAAATTGATCTGAATAGTTTAGAATGCAAACATAATCTCAGCTATTTCATAAACATTAAAAAATATGCTAGTCTTTTCTAGCAAAGCCGGTTAATATGTACTGTGACTGAAATTATGAGGATTTATTGGACGTCTGTTATTTTATTCCCAAAACTGTATTTATGAGAGTAATCCAGTGTATAAATATGGTACTACGATCATTGAAATCTTTTCATGTGAATGTCACATCTCTAACAAAGTTGCTTTAGTTAACATTGTATTAATCAATCATTTAAAATAAAAAATTCCTTATTTCATAAGATAGAATATTGTTTGAGACATTTCAATTACATTATGTTCTGAATTGAGGAAAACCCTCCTGAAGTTGATGCATATGGAATGAAATATGAATCAGTGAAAAAAACAGACTCCTCATATGGTCTTGAAATTGCTGGTGCTTATACACCTACACCACGAAGCTCAGTATTTCGAAAGCAATCAAGTAAGCCAAGCCTTACAAATAATGAGAGCATGGGTCTTCATGTGAAAACACCAGCTGAAAGAAATTCAAATGGTAAGTTTCATTATGATACCTTCTTTTTATTCTTTTCGATAAGAAATATTTTAGCACACAATAATTAATTATTTTGGTTGTTTACAATTCGTGTAAATATTGAAAAAAATTGTTTTAGAAGAAACTTGTTGTATGAGATATTAGGATCTGGTTCGTTAAACAACTTAATGATAGTCTTACTTAAGACTCAATAGGTAAATGTACATGAGACTTATACTCAATATTATTTGTAGAAATTTGCATTTTTTTTTATTGTTAACAATCAGAATTGAACTCGAAAGTGCTCTGACTTTTGACGCACGTTCTAATGTTATTGTGAACATCAACTCTACGATTAAAAAACATTCAAATGCAACATGTAACCTGAATCCCATTTCTACCCGCTACTCAAGTAGAACTAGGACGTGTAGATAGTTTTAAGCATCTTTTCGAAAATTCCATTTGTAAACACGGATTGGTATTATACAATTAGCCATAATTACTATGTATATTAATAACACTTTCATGTTCAAAATCTGAACTAAAAGTAAAGTGCTCTTCGGGAAATCTAAAGATCATGGAATCGATCACTACCTTGAGTTATGGTGGGCGAGTCCCATTCTAAGAAGAAATAACTACTTAGTCTCTCTGGTTTTCAGTGGTTTCCACCTGGTTGCTAAACTTAGCTCGATAAACCTCTCTAATGAATTATCAAATAATTCAGCAAAAAGATCAAGCCTCAAACAAATTGATAACAAAGCTTCAGTCAGAATAATTAAATCTAACATGGAAGTTATAATCATAGAAAATCGTGTGATGAAATATGTTTTCGTTAAATACACACTTATTCGAAACATAAAAAGTTAACTATTTCGTTTCATACATGTTAGTGGTAATGACAGGCAAACAAAATTACTAAAGGTATTTCGCACTGTTTCATTCAGATATGCAACATACTTCGGAGCGGGCTTCTAATGTAAGAAAGATCAATAGAGATAATTCCCCACCAAAAATTTTAGTGAATAATACTCCTTCAGAATCTTCAAGATCAACACAAAAATTAGATAGTCTGAAAGATTCTTTGAAACATTCCTTACCTTTTTCTCCCGATAAAGAAAATGAATCAAGTTCAGCAACGGAGAAAGAATCGAAAATTTCTATTCTTCCCGCGAATCGTTTACATATTCCCGGTAAACATATTCTGTCTACAGGTAAGTGATATTTTTATATAATTCTTCTCCACAAATATATTAACGGTGTCATCGAATAAAATAAAGCAGTTACGATCCTTTAAATATTCGACATTGAGAAGAGAAATGTTCTAGAACTATATTTATGGCCACTAAAAATTATCCAACCACATGTAGTGTAGAGGGTAGTCACTTTTGCTGGACAGTTATGCATCTAGTAATGCTAGCTATCTTCTTTATCAATGCAACAAAATCTTTACAATGATAGTTTTGGTCAGATTTTGTATATAATATCCAAACAAACAACAGTTCGAATTAGGATTTCTAGACACCATAGCCATAAGAAATCGAATGACTATACACTGTTCTGTAAAATGCATTCAGTACTGTTGCCAAGTGTTGTTAACTAAGTAAAATCTACCCTAGCACAATTCATTCTAATAAAATCCAAAGTAAACACATAACGAAATTAACTTATTGTGTGAATAGAGTGGTGAATTATGTCAGTGTTTGGTAATGAGTATCATTGATCACAAGATTAGAACTTCATTTTGTAAACGTTTACCAGCTGATGTTATTAAGACGTAAGCTGAAGATGTTCAACGCCTAAAATTCATAAGAATTTCCCGATACATTTTGAATTTCTATCATGACAACAATAAAATGTGTTCACTACTTGATAAAGTGATATGAAAAACTTTAAAAATTGTCTCATTTTTCAAAATCAGTTCTTTATGCAGAAGCTGTTTAGCTTATATTTACGATTCTGTATATTTTGACAAATGCTTCCTAGCTGAATGGAAACTACAAGACAATCTCCAAGCAACTCTGGAAGCTTGAATGTTAAAAAGTAATCATATGAGAAAGCGGTTTTTGTAGTAAAACGTAATGGAAAGATGGTGCACAAATTAGTATATGTGATATGTACAGTTTGGTGTACACTCGATTTACGATCCGTTCATTTTATGAAGTAGCAACCTGAACTCAAATATGCATGAATTAGAGTGTAAATGGATTCAGTTATTTCTGCTTCCTAATTCCAAAGATACTTTTGTTTTCGTTCTAATAATAACATTACTTACTTACACCTGCTACCCCTTGTGAAGGGGCATAGGCAGCCCACCAGCATTCTCCATCGAACTATGTCTGGACAATCCTTTCCAGTTGTTTCCAAATGCTATTCATTCTTCTCATATCTGCCTCCGATTTCCGATGCAACGTGTTCATTGATCTGCCCACTTTCCATTTCCTTTCAGGATTCCAAGTTAGGGCCTATTTCGTGATGCAGTTTGTTAATTTCCATAATGTATGCCCTATCCACCTTCAACGTCTTTTCCTAATTTCCTCTTCAACTGGAAGCTGATTTGTCCTCTTCAACAGTAAACCGTTGCTTGTGGTTTTTAGCCAAAGGACATTGAGTATCATACGTAAACAATTGTTTATTAATACTCGTACCATTTTGATGATGGTTTTAGTAGTTCTCCAAGTTTCAGTTCTTTATATTTACTTAACTGATTAGTCTAGCTATTTAAATTCTAATATGAATCATTTTAACATCTCAAAAGCAAGACATTATTATCTTCTGCCAATCACTATATTGAATTATTTTATCGGTTTATGAATAGTCTGTATCCTAGGTTAAAATTAATGAATCTTCAAAACTCAATAGATTGCTTGACGAATAATATGATAAAGATTATCCTTCGTTCATCAACTAAACTAGGGAAATATCTAGTTAGAAATATTATTACAAATCTACTCATCTCATTAATCCTTTCTTAAAAACAACTACGTTTTTGAGTTATTGGACATTAACATAGTTTTTATTCAGTGTAATTTAATTCTATAACATGAATTAATAGGTGTAGATCGAAGAATTGAAAGTAGAAATAATGGATCATTTACTTTACAATTTATTATGAGTTCACCAGAAAGTGTACAAAAGGGTAGGTTTAACATTTCATTTATTCCTTGTTTTAGTTTGATAATTTTATGTGATCATAACTTGCTAACATGAAACAGATAGATGTATGAAAACTGTTTAATGTAACCCAATCAAAAAACAGTATTAATAGACACCACCTTTTTATTCTCTAGTTAAGAAAACACGATAAACACACACAAAAATACCAAAAGAGATATAGTTCATAATTACCTTAGAAATAATCAATAATGAATACAAAACTAATTAAATCTCCTATTAACCAAATAGTTTAAATGAAAAAAGTACAAGGTCAACTACTTGTCTATAAAAACTAAGCTCATCTTGTACAATGATACAAATTGGCATTGTGATATATGGTAGTTTAATCATGGATATCTGATCTTTTAAAAATAATTCAGCTTGAAAGAATACTGAAAAGTGTCAGCTTACATGTGTAGGCTTCTCTAACAGCAAATATGATCGAGTGCTAATAAATAGTTTACATCCTTGTCCATACATGAAGAACATGGTATGGGATTTTTGAAGTGAGTTTAAAAGCTAGACAAATAGATACAAAATCTAAATAAAAATAAGAAATATACCTATCTATAGAAACACTAGATGTTAATAGCTGAAACATTTAAACGACTAGTAAATCGTACTGTGATGTGGGTTACTTATATCCGCACAAGTAGTATATAACGGTGGCCAGGCATAGAATGTATTTCAGTAAAAGGTCGATGACGGAAGAACGGGAACGGAACTCAATTGGTATGAAAACGCATGAACAATGAAATCTGAGACAATGGATTGATGTTTGCAACAGGAACAGTCAAGTTTGATATGATGGACTGATGTTTTGCAAATTAACTATTTACTATATGCTTCTCAGATTTTATTGAGATTTCGTGTCAAATACATTCGAATGTCCCCACTCGTGTTCTTGTTCACTGCAGTACTAGTGTTTATTTAAAGATTCGTAAACCTCTATTTTGATGAACCCTATTTGAGTGAGAAAGATACTTTACGCACATAAAATTGTAGGAAAATATGTTCATGGAACCAAACTATGGATCAGGCAGGAAATATCTCAACACATTTCAATCTTAATACATCGACTGCTCAATATTTTCTTGTCTCTGTCATTTTATCGAAATTAGAACATTATTTAGTAAACGTTCGTAAAGAAAGAACAACAAATCTTTATTTCAAGAATAATAATTATCATATGTCATCTTCATGTGCATCAATCTTACAAATAAGCTATAGCATTACACAGTCTGTGAAATATATGTAAATCACCAAGATATTGCTAGATGAACCACAATCTGTTTTTGTGCCTATAATTTGAGGTTAAGTTGATGAATACCCAACCTATCAATATTCGTCTTATTGAGCACTCATAATGGCGTATTTATTTCTATAAAATAACCAGTCTGAATACTACTTTCAATTATTGCGCTGATAAGCAATCCAGGGTCAATAACTAGTTTCTTTCGTACCCTCCTCGTCCTTCCGACGCACATTAAACAGCAGACACAGATAGACAGCTAAAAAAGACTGAACATAACTATAGAATCCTCTTAGCTATGTTTATTGATAAATCAAACTAGATTCTTTAAATGTGAAAAGACAGAAAATAAGAAAGTTCAATTCGTTGTTGATATTCTTATTCTGTTAAGGAAAAATCAAGACAAAATTGCTCACTGGGTACGTTTAGTACAAAGACCATTATACCAAATCAAGTTAAATTATTCAAACAATCATTAAGCTTATTCCATATAATCAATCAATTGAAATATAAGCTTGAACTATTATTAATATAAGTTATAGTAGTACAGCCTAATTTAAATTTTTTATTTAATAGGATGGATAAATGAAAATATACTAATTAGTTTTATGAACACAATAGAGTGGGTATGTTCACGATTAACAACTGTTTTGAAGAAAAAGTGAGTAACTTTTTATTTATAGGTGCTAGTAATGCAACAGAACATTTAATTCTTTATTTATCCGGTAAATTTGTTCTAAATTGTTTTCAAGAACTCAGAAGATGTTTTAAGAGTATAATTTGGATTTGTGAACTTTACAAGGTCAAATTGAGGATAGTAATAATGATAATAATAATAATAAGGTTGCAGTGATTGACTACGGAGTAATAATCAATGTCATGTTTAAAGCGCTGGTCAAATATATTGATCAAGTTGCATTGTAACAAATCTAAATGAATTGATGAAAACTTCGTTGATATTAGGTATTTGGAAGTGATTGGTGAGAAGTCGTGAATCTAGGTTTCTCTTAGTTAGCACTTGTTAATAAAACTCACCACCAATCCGTGTGGAATTGATGCTCGCTGTGGGAGTCAAGCTCTCACAATCAGATATATTACCATGGAGTCATTCGGGTAGTGATCGACTTCATGTATGACTGAGACATTAGCACTGATTGATCAGTAAGTAGTAACCAATATCATACTTACCTAGTCTTTAGTCCTAATCGCATTTCAGAGATCAAAATGTATATATATGTAATATTGTAATACAATCACTTGGTTTTACTTATTTTAATAAAATTACAAAGGGGATATTCGTGTAAGAGAATCCACTGCTATATTGATCGCTAGTCACAGAAATAAAACATGAAACTTATACAATATCACATCAAAATAACAGGCATTCCTAACACATGATTTTCAGAAGCAGTTTTCATGATAGACTGATAGTTTGAGGTTAAGAGGTGTTTAATCTCAACTATGCTCTGTGTTAAACCCTAGACTTAATGTCAGTTCTTTATAAATACTATCAGAATATATAAAATCTTCACACTACTACCTATATAAATATCAGTTCAATATATTTTTCATTAATCGCTATCATGAAACTGTGACAAAACTGATTTCATTGTCTAGTATCTGGTTTTCGATCTCGAATTTCACATAGGAATGTGGAAGACAAAGCACTTTTATAAAAAGTATCCACCCGTCGAAGGCATGCTGTCTATTTGAATTTTCATTTATGGTTACTTACTATCTTTCAGTATCGATAAAATGTAGTTTTTTCCACTTTCATATTGCACCTCATAAAACTTTAATAGTGTTCCTAATGATTAAAAATCAATACAAAAATAACTAAATTTGATCGGTTTCAATCAAAATTCTAATTATGTATACATTTTTTGCTTAATTCTAGTGAAGTATCTTATAATTATGAAAAATTACAATTCCCTCATTATTGTGAACCACAATACATTCTTTATTCAAGTTTATTAAACTTCAAAGAATTTAATTTTCTAATAAAAAATTCTTTAATTCATCGTAAAATAAATTCCTATACACAAATCAATTCCCATAATAATGATATAATTCAAGATACTACTAACAATCAAATATTAGTAGGCAAAAAATTTACTGATAATAATAATGACAATAATAATATCATTCTTTTATTTAAAGTTGGTTTTAATAGAATTAATGAAATTAGAATACCAATTATGAAATTATATCAAATTACATCAATGAATTCAATACCAAGTTCTTCTTTAATACAAATTTATAAAAATAATTTATTTAATATCATTGAATATGATCTAATGGACAATATATTATTATCAACAATTACAAATGTATATATTATTAAACAAATACAATCAATCTTATCAAATATTGATTTATTACAAAATAATAATGAAAAAATCAATAAATCATCGAATATTTTATTAAAATTGTATTTAAAAAATTTGGCAACTGTTTTACAATCAAAAAAGAAATATAATCACTATGATAAACATGTACAATCTTATCCATGGGTATCATATTCTACAGATGGTACATTAATAATTCGGTAAGTTATAATGATATTTATTTGAGTAAAATGAAGTTTGACAAATATAATAAATTATACTTCGAAGAGATTAGATAAGGTGAATTGTAGTATATATATAGGATCTTTCAATTAAATTTTCCAATCCATACCTGGAAACATAAATTGCCTGGTGGATGTCCAGAGTGTTACTTACCTATTTACTTACGCCTGTTACTCCTAATGGAGCATAGACCGCCGACCAGCATTCTCCAACCCACTTTGTCCTGGGCCTTCTTTTATAGTTCCATCCTATTCTTGTTCATTTTTCTCATGTCTATCTTCATTTCCTGGAGTAATGTGTTCTTTGGTCTTCCTCTTCTCCTTCGGCCTTGAGGATTCCGTGTGAGGGCTTGTCTGGTGATGCAGCTGGTTGCTTTCCTCAATGTGTGTCCCATCCACTTCCAGCGCTTCTTCCTGATTTCTTCCTCCGCTGGGATCTGGTTTGTTCTCTCCCACAGTAGGTTGTTGTCGATAGTGTTTAACCAACGGATCTGAAATATTTTGCGTAAACAACTGTTAATAAACACCTGTATTTTCTGGATGATGGCTTTCGTAGTTCTCCAGGTTTCTGCCCCATACAGTAGAACTGTCTTGACATTTATATTGAAAATTCTGACTTCAGTGTTGGTTGACAGTTGTTTTGAGTTCCAGATGTACTTCAGTTGTAAATATAGTGCTCTTGCTTTACCGATCCGCGCCTTCACATCTGCATCAGACCCACCATGTTCATCAATCATGCTGCCCAAATATGTAAAGGTTTTTACATCCTCCAAATCTTCTCCGTCAATTGTGACTGGATTGATGCATGCTGTGTTGTATCGGAGAATCTTGCTGCTGCAACACTGATCGTCTTCTCCTGCATTTGTTGTTGAGTTTGCGATAGGAGGGCCAGATCATCTGTGAAGTCTAGATCGTCCACTGTATTCCGTGCTTCCCCTCAGATGTTGACGTCATGATCCAGTCGATCACCAGGAGAAAGAGGGAGGGTGAGAGTAAGCAACCTTACCTGACACCGGTCTTTACTTCGAACGAATCTGTGACCTGTCCTCCATTCATGATTTTGCAGTTTAATCCATCATAGGCATTCCGTATGATATTGACTATCTTCTGAGGCACGCTGTAGTGTGGAAGAAGCTTCCATTGTGTTGTCCTGTCCACGCTATCAAATGCTTTCACGTAATCAATGAAGTTAGTGTAGAGTGATGAATTCCATTCAATTGATTGTTCCACAATGATCCGTAGAGTTTCGATTTGATCTGTACACGATCTATCCTTACAGAATCCTGCCTGTTGTTCTCGAAGTTGGGCGTCTACGGATTCCTTCATCCATGTCCAAAATGTTAGTGACTATTATTCATCCATAACAAATTAGGATCCTAGTTTTCAATTGGTTGTTTAAATATTAACAAGGTCAAGTATGTAGAAATGATCGAAAAAGTTTCAGATCAAATTTTTCTCAGACAAATACCTAAGATTTAACAACCACTTGATCAGTTATGTATTCAAATTTATGTTGCTATGTTTAATGTTCGTTAACGTGAATGATGTAATTTCATATAACTAATTTTAAAAAATGTTTGAATTAGTCTATGTTTTGTAACCAACATCAATCTGTTTTGCGACAACGATAAAAGACAGCAGATAAAGGACAAAAAGTTTTCAATAATTTGGAGAGAGGGGCAGTTAAAATAGTTTTGAAGTTAAACTTAACATTCGTTGACAGTTTACAGCAATGATTGTTTATAATCTTTGGGAAATACACGGCAGCTCGAAAGTGAATAACTTGTTCGTCCCTCTTTACATCAGCAGATTTAATTCATGAGCCCCTTGGTCTGGTAATGATGTTCTGTGGGGCTTAAAGCCAAACAAAGTGATTATCCGAAGGTTACCAATTTGCTCTCCATCAAAATTTAAATTAACAACCAACTATTACTTGTTTCCACAACCCTTACACCATTCGCCATTTACGAGTTCGCATTCTTGATGTATAAACTCTTTAATACACTTTTGGCTTATGTAATCTAAAAGGTGGCAAGAGAAAGGTAGTAGAATTTATAGTATTTTCTGGTTAACAAATCACATACCACTAATGCTTTTACACTATTTAGATGTAATCTAAGTATCTGCCTACGTAGTTTTCAGCAATAACAACGTTTATTAAATCATTGATATTGTTTGATTTGTAAAGTTAAGGTTTTTAAAATTTAAGAGAAATGATGATTCAAGGAATAGAAAATCAAGATACTTTGATTTTCGCTGAAAATTACTTGGTATGAACACATCATTAGAGATTTAAATAGAACACGGCAACATAGTTCCATTTTCGAGGTTCATTACACATATACTGAACCATTGCAACCATTTTACCTACGTGTTAGTACTTCCGTACTTAAAATAGATAAACTAATGTGCATTTGATAGAAATATGTTTATCCTAGTGGTATAATATTGTCCTTTATTTGAAATCCTGTAACTCTCTGCTTAGTTACACATGTTTTATTTTCGTTGTTGTTTATTACAACATTTAATCGGCTTGATATTCTTCTTTCTTTGTACTTTTGCACTATTTAACAATTCATGCCTCTGAATATTTGTATATAAGTTTCTATGGTTTCATATGCTCGACTTTTTGAAGCGTCAGTTAGCTGATTATCAAATCTAAGGCTTTACTGCTCCACTACTGAGCAGTTATCATTGAGAGAAACTTTATTTAACAAGGAACACATTTTGAATATTAACCGTTATACACAAATAAACTAGACCATCATATCTATTTGCTTGATCATGTTCATGAATATCTAGTAAATACCTTTCTACTTATTATTTGTACGATCATACAGGTATCCTTGTGGTTCACCAGCTATTATATGGTCATCAAGTCCCTTGATATATCACAAAGCATGTGAAAATCTCGATAATTCCGATTCATCTTCAGTAAATAAAGGGAAAGTAAATAAAGCAAGTAAACCTAAACAATTTCTTCATAGTTCATCTACACCTTTACAAAAATCAATCACAAACATTACTATTACTACTGATTCCACTACAACCAATAATAGTAGTGGTATACCAATGTCAGGAATGCGGAATGTTCAACATCGAACAGGATTTTATTTATCGATTTTTGATATTCCTCGGGTGTTATCGCATAAGTCAGAAGTGGATACGGCCATTGATAAAGTTGATAACAAATATAACTCACACATTTCTAAATCATCAACAACAACAGATAATGAAATATCGACAAACAATGGGAAAGATAATTGTTTCAGTACCGAATTAATTCAGAAGTCTAGAAATACTGCTAGAAAACTAGATTCTGTTAGAGAAAATATATCTAGTAGTTGTAGTATGAATAGTAGCAGTAATTTTTCGGAATTTTATCCTGAACAAACTAAATTCAATGACAGTCTACAAAATGAAGACGTTGATGATAAAAAGTTTAACATAGGTCCATTGATTGCACATTTTACACCGTCTGGAGATGGTGTTATATATTATCCTCATAATATTAATAATAATAAAACAACAATATCTGATAGCACTGACCACATAAATAACCTTCAGCCAGTCAATATTCACGCTATCTTTACAAAAGAATATTGTTATGTGTTTAAGAATTCTAACGGAGAATTAGAATATGAATTTCCATCTTTCACAGAAAAAAGTCGACATGATCCAACAATAAGATATCCAGTTTCATTGGATGTAAATTTTAACCATTACATTAGATTAGTTCGTACGAACTCTCATGATTTAACAATAATATTTAAGACAGAAGAGGATGTGCTACTTACTATTGATTGTTTTCAAAACCTCTATTCAAATGATTATCGTGAATGTGATACGTATGATCACCCAATGAACTTTGAGGATGAGTCAAAACAACACAAACAGGTAAGTGATCTTATTATGAGTTTGTATGTATGGAACAAAACTTCGAAACTAGTATTGTTCAATTTAAAGTAAAACGAAGTTGTAGTTTTTGTCACTGTCGATATCATTGTTAGTTGAAATGGGTGAATGCTACCTTCTAGCTCTTTGGTTATTGAGTCTATATGGGGTTGAACAAATTTAAAATGTTTGACATAAATTAAAGGAATTAGAAGCTATTGCAATTTAATTTAGGAGTCCCTAGTTGCGCAAACCAATTATCCTATACTAGATCCAACTGAAAGGTTTCACGTTATTTAATGACTGTGTTATCATTCCGTTATTGGACAAGATTTCCAACTTAATTTTGGTAGTGGTGTTATATATTCAACATTAATTACTTTCAATGAATATCAATCGTGCTATTTCGCAAATTATCTGGAAACATAGTGGTGTACTATCAGATATCTACCCGATTATTAAACATCTGACAACAAGTAAACCATTACATCATTTGATCCAACGTTACTAAACTGCCTGGTTCAGTCTGCTACTGATAGCCATCTCATGAAATAAATAGATGAGCTGGCATCCTATTCATTTTTTCCTGCATGTCTATGTGCCAAATGCGCGTTTATTATCAATCCTTATTTCATAAAGACTATAATCCTGATACACAAAATTAATGATACTGTTAAGCGTTTTATACTATAAACATGAAAAAATAACAGCTAGAAAAAAGGTTAAATATTCGAAGTAGAATTGAGAAACGACAAAATATTCTGATTATTTGTCAGGGATCGAACCATGAGATTCCAAGTATAACAAAAAACAATTCCAACTCCTGTAACATGAAGTTTTGATATAAACTTTTGACTTAATATATATACGCTTGTATTGACTCATTCCGTAAATTTAATTCATACAAATAACATATTTTTTTTATAGAGACGTGAGTGGTTTGGTATCACTTAGAGTTATGTATTGTAATTGAATGATACACCGTAAAAACTGAAAACTTTATAACCCGATGGAATTCCAACTCTAAAACTCGAATGAAATTCATCGATGTGTGTTCTTTATTAAGTCCTAAAATGAATCACAGGATCATAAATCTAATTTTCAGTGATCAGTGATAACGAAAAATAATTAACTAGATGAAAGGTAAAAATTAGTTCTTCTGTTCTTCTAATGAGGATGTTTCAACTGATATTATGGGTTAGATATGCATTAAATGTCTTCTGAATTGATGAAATTGGGGACAGAAATAACGCTGTGAACTGGATTTTCATTTCAGATAACACTAAAATCTCCATGTATTGTATCACTGCTTAAATTTCGTTTTCCACTGAAATTAAGTTAATACTGAGGACTATGGTAAGTGTAAACTTTCAGAAGGTTGTAAAAATTACTAAGATGAAATGTATTTAGACAATTATTCAAGGTGGACAATTTTTCTCAAATCAAAATAAGTTTATTATTAACCGCATCGGTGTTACTGGAACAATTGATGATAGGATTAGTTCTCCATACTACTTGCTAGTTGTAGATAGTAAGTTCGAATTATACAAATAAACAATATTGTGTAAAAGAGTCATCAATAAATAACGAAAATAATTTTGTGAAAGAATGACGACTTTCGATGAAAGAAAGCATAAACGAAAACAGAACTAAAGCTAGCACACTCCAGGTAATTGGCTTACCGTCTTACCAATTCACCAGCAAAATCTAGTCCCCTATAAGATATCGGCGTCACTTTAGTCAAAAAGAGTTTCTAAATAAGGAAACTTGGCGCAAAATTGTTAATTTTACCAAATTTTTAAGTTTAGCAGGTATCCATTATTACCATTCAGAATGATGACTCTTCAGTCACTAGCGAATCTTTTTGTAGAGTAAGTCCTGAAATGTTTATACAGTTTGTAGAGATTAACGATATATTATGAAAGTATGTACTTACTGGAAAAATAAAGTGATTATCGTAATATATTGAAATTTGGGATAGAATTTATAATACCAAAAATTATATTGATCATTTGATTGAAAAATTCGATGGTACATACAAACCATTAACATCAGTGTGGGTTCATTCACCCTTTTTCTTACCTTAGATCCTGAGTCGTGAATTCTGTTTATACGTTTTATTCTTTCTATGTTTAAGCTTTTCTTCTACTATGACTACTGACATGGTCACTACAGTACAACTTTTGGATTAATCTCCAGAATTTTATTGCTCTCCTCTAATGTATTATGCCAGGTTCCATGTTGTATATAACTGACAGCTGGTGATGAAATTTATACCTTACTATATATTTATATTTTGCTGTTTTTTTAAGTGAACACAAGTTTATCTTGTTTTTTTCTCCCTTTTTATCTATTTTTAACTCATCACTATATTATAATAGCAGTTCGTTTTATCTAAATTACCATTTTTGAGTTCAGTTGTCGATAACACAAATCAAAACAAACAATTATTAATAAGCAGAAAACGGAAAGAAGTAAGTAACTATTCAATAATAAATTTTAAAAAGATGCTAACTAAATTAATATCCTTTTTAACTATGTTTATGAACATGAATTATTTTCATATCACTAAATTAACACACCTTATTGATCATGGTAGGCTCAGGATAGAGTGGGTTGGAGAATGCTGGTCGGCGGCCTACGCTCCATTGGGAGTAACAGGTGTAAGTAAGTAAAATTGATCATGGTAGTTAAAATGACTTTAGACCATTGAAACTAAAGTTGTAGACCAGTGGATTCTAATACACTTTAGTTCTTGAAGTTTATCCAGCCGATATTAGTTCATGTTGTAAATCAATCTCAAATTGAACAATGTTTACAAATTTCTTATTAACCATTATGCAAAATTGATTCGATCAATAAGAAATAATGTACACTTGAACACTGAGTGTTATCCTGTGATTGGTTAATTTACTTTATCTATTTATACTAGTTAACCAAAGCACAAACCAATTAGTAGGTAGCATTTCTGATTAGCCTATTGAATTGAGTGGGAGTAAATCTCTATGCCTGTGGTCCTACTTGGGTTAATGCCGGTTTGAAGCCCGGATAAACGAGGAAGGTTGGGCTGACGAAATAAGAAGACACAACTTTCCAGTGCTCGGAATAAGTGAGACGCATTGGATTCAGACTGAAGAGAAAACGTTAGCTCCGGTAGAGGTGAAGTTGTACTTTGGTCATGAAAAAGAAAATGCCTCCCACACACAAGGAGTTCCACTGAAGCTGTTCAAAGAAACACTAAAAACACTAATAGGATGAGAATCTCATGGGTCTAGGATCATCAAAGCATTATTCGAAACAGAGAAAGAGGGAATTACAATGAATGTTGTCCAGTGTTATGCACCCACCAACGATAGAAATGAAGACGGTAAGGACCACTTTTTGAGAGGCTGCAATCGATCGTAGAGAGGTTTCTGGAAAAAGATCCGACTATCATCATCATAGGGGACCTAAACGCCAAAGTCGGAAATGGACAACACCGGATATGAAAATATCATGGGATGGCATGGACTGACTGGGAGAAAGGAACGAGAATGGTGAGAGGTTTTCAAATCTATGTGCATTCAAAAATTGGTTATAGGTGGCATAATATTTTCACACAAACGCATACACAAAGCTACATGAGTCTCACCGGATCACACCATAAAGAACTAGATAGATCATATTTGCATCGGTAGAAAATCCACAAGGTCAATGGAAGGCCTGAAAACCTGAAAATGAGCTGACATAGCTTCAAATCACCGCTTGAATGTTGCCAAGATGAAACTGAAGCTAAAAAACACTGGACATCTGGGGAAACAGCAATACAAAAGTTCAATACAGCCTTCCTTCGAGACACTGACAAACCTAACGAATTGAAAATAATTCTCAACAACAGGTTCCAAACCTTACAGGACCTACTGAAAGAAGAAACTATTATCTAGGACAATAAGAAAGGAATGAAAGAAGCACTGACTTCATCATTCCAGGAAGCACTAGGTTGCAAGAAGCGTCATCATAAGGAATCGATCTCTATCGAAACCCTGGACAAGATTCAAGAAAAGAAAAACGGGAAGACAACAATTAACAAGACTCAAACAAGAGCAGAGAAAGTCAGGGTACAGGATACACAGAAGGAAACAAGCAAGTGAAGAAGAGCATTAGAGCCGATAGGCAGAACTATGCAGAAGACCTAGCAGTGATAACGGAAAAGCCTCATGAGAAGGAAATACCAGACAACTATATGATTCAACGAAGAAACTGGCAGGGAAATATAGTAAACCAGAGAGACTGATCAAAGACAAAGAAGGTAAGCCAGTCACTGAAATTCAAGAACAGAGGAACAGATGGGCAGGACATTTTAAGGAACTCTTGAATAGACCAGCTCCATTGAGTCTCCTGAACACCGAAGCAGCACCTACAGACCTTCCTGTAGATGTCACTCCACCAATGATCGATGAAATCAGGATGGCCATGTGACGAATCAGGAGTGGGGAAGCATAAGTAACTGACAATATACCAGCCGAAGCACTAAAGTCAGACACGGAAGCAACCGCAAACATGCTCCACGTAATATTCAGGAAGATTTGGGAGGAGGAACTTTATAGACGACCTAGCTCTCCTATTTTATGCACCGCAACACATCCAGTTGAAGATAGCCTGTTCAGAAGTAGGCCTCAACCTACAAAACGGAAAAAGCGAGATCCTCAAATACAGCACAGAGAAAACGAACCCAATCACACTTGATGGAGAAGATCTGGAAGATGTAGAACCTTTCACGTATCTGGGCAACATCGTTAATGATTAAGGAGGATCTGTTGTAGATGTGAAATCAAGGATTGGCAAAGCAATGTCAGCATTTTTACAATTGAAGAACATATGGAACTCAAAATAACTATCAGCCAACACCAAAGTCAGCATCTTCGATGCGAACGTCAATGTATGGAGCTGCAACATGGAGAAGTGGCTGATCACCTCTAACTAAATTAAGATAAATATAACAAACTGAGTAAAATGTATATAAATTCACATGAATAAGTCACTTGTTGTCTTTTTATAATTAGCCAGTTGCTAACTGACATAAATAATAACGTAGCTTTCCTATTTGTTTTCAAGTTATATCATGATCATCGGTTAAGTATTAAGTAATCTAAAAAAACACTATCTGTACTACTTATTTTGAAACTCTTCATCTTTATTTATGAAAAGCCACCTAAAATATACTTATCTGAGTCTACTGCTAACAAGATATATTGAATTTGAGTTCAATCTAAACATTACCGTTTTTATTAATTTATCACTACAAATTAACCGTAAATAGTTCGGACCATAATAGATTTCGATTAAGCACTAACCAATAATAATCATCGCAATAATAATAATAATAATAATAATAATAATAATAATAATAATAATAATAACCGATAATCAGCCTAAGTTGTGTTAAATCACTTTCCTCTGGTGGATAAAATCTATGCACGAAGTAAATGATCTATTTTCAGATTTCGTTTTCAGCATAATAATCTTGGAGTATCATCTTTTGGTTAATAAATTCGGGATTCTTATTGAGATTTCTCAACAGATTACAATGTTGGATAGGTATAATAAAAATGGATACCTTCGGGAAATGTTAATAGTGTTCGTTATTTCAAATGATAACTCATTATAGGTATCCAAATGACCATATGAGTTCGAGTGAAGACACCTTATCAACATGGTATACTTTTCCTGTTTTCTTGTAATCTGGAAACGTTAATTAATGTAGTTTAAAATTTCTTGAATCAAGCTTTCAAGACCTATTGCTTGAGGTTGCGTAAAATTTAAACCAGCTTTGGTTAGCATTTTGAGGATCTTTTAACAGTGTTTGTGACGAGCGAATGATGTTTAAGAGAAACCCGGTTGAACTGTTCAATGGATTATTCAGTTCCTCATCTTAACTATGACTTCAGAGTTAATCAGTTATCACATGATTTCTGAGAGGTAATATTATTAGTATTGTAAATCCCACTGAAAAATATTCGTAAGTCCTTACCGAACATGAAATATCACTTTTAAACGATAAAACAAACATAAATGTTCATGTTAAAGCGAATAAACAACATTCAGTTTAATATAGTATAGATGTTTTCACAGTGTGGCTTAAACTGCCGATGAGAATCGCTTTTTGTAGAATTAGGAAATTTATACCGATTCTGTGTATTTAACAATTTCTGCATAAATAAAAGCTTTTTAATACGGAGTATAATTTAGTGAAAACCGTTCGGTTATATCAGGACCTTGATTTAGTTTTTAGTCCAACTGGTAGCCAAAATGTAATTAATCATAATTACTGAATTTTGAAATAATACGTAGCCGAAATGTATCTGTCAACCACAATTATTTGTCTGATTATTGATTTTTATTGCACACATATAACTATCCACATAAGCACCAATATTGATCAACTTTTATGTGAGTGATTATCATATGATGCTGTATGATCATAGCATGCATCTAAGAAAATATGCATAAGGCTCTATTTTTAGTAAATAAAATGGAAACCAATCTTTGAAGTTATTAGTTCAAAGATCAATTCAAAATATGAAGATAGTTTTGATTTTTGATTGGAATTAATTAGCTTGAAATTAGTTGACGAACAAGGTGCAGTTGGGGAATATTTTTCACTTGTTTGAAGTGTCACATCAATGCATACTTATAAACTATAAAGAAACTTTCAGGTTTCTCAAATAGACTGACGTTAATCGACCATTTATTTTTAAATTCAATGTTTTTTTATTTCAATTGACTCACGATATATTTGTGATATTGTGGTGGATTCCAGCAAAAGAGCTTACTCAATATATATCAGTACGCAAGGTTATTAATAATACACCAAAAGAGTTAACAGTAAAATCCTAGGTGTCTGTCTATCAGTAAAACCAAAAGTTAATAAATTACAGTTACAATACAAATGGTATATTAAACAACAAGGTGATAACAGTTGTTATGAAAGGAATGTTACTTGTAAGCCGCTCTCTGAGATAACAACCACAAATGAGTTCACTTGATTAACGAAGATTCCTCTGAGCAAAGTTGCACCAACGGCGTAATGAGAAAGACTGGATCCAATAGTATTATTTAATAATAATCCGGGCCAAAAATCCAAAGTAGTGTAGGAAAGTCTAAAACGACGTTATAACACTATTATAGTCTTCAAGCAAAGGCCGTGGCCAATAAAGCAGAACAGACGGCGGAGATAGTATTTTATATTTCAAGCAACGCGGTAGAATATTCGTATATAAGTATCCAAACAATTATAATCGTTTTTTAACAAGTGATACAGAAAAACAATGTGTTACGTGGTTACATAAAAAAGTGTGACAAATTAGAGAAAAAATGCGCTTTTTATTTTGTCGTTACAAAAATCACTGAATATACGTCACCATGCTATCAACTAATTTAGTCAGTAGTTTCTAAAAGATCCTAAGACTGGGCTCTGCGGGTTAAAGAGAGGTTA